GTGACCCCTAGGCCATGAGACTTGCAGGGAGGTTGGGGTCCCTTACTACTGCACCCTTCACTGTCAGTGCTCTCTGCTGCTTAAACTTCTCAGCAGGCCCTTACTTACGCCCTCTCCCTCTCCAAGACCACCTCTCATGGCTGTCTCCCACAAAGACAACTGTTCCTAAGGATGTGCTAAGCTTCCCTGCGCTGAGATTGTTGCTTGTTTTTAAGATCCTATAGTGACTCAAACAATAGGCTTCAAAAATGGCATCTTGCTGTGGCTTTCTGAGATAGGGGACAGCAGATTATCTTTCTTCACCGAGGCTTGCCTTGCACACTGGAGTAGCCATCATTTCACCAAATCCTGCCCTGGATTTAAAGCTTGTGGAATATGTGAGATCATCCTGCAGTGAGAATTGCTAGTTTGTCACCAGGGTCATCTGGTTTACCTTGTGATGGTGTTTTCAGTTTCCCTTCTCCTCCCTGAGGAGCCTGCTGCTCTTCTCTGTTGCCTCAGTTTCATTGTTCTTTCTGCTGTCCTGCTGCTTCTTTCATGATTCCTGATGTTCTTTCTCTCTTCGGAATATGGTCTTTCCTGTGTTATCTGACTCTTCTCATTCATGGAGTCTGAATGGTAGACTCTTCTAATCTGTCATCTTGCCCTGCCTCCAGTAAATTAAAATTTTAATGAATGAATTGTCCTTTTTGATTAAATTAATTAAAAAATAAATATATATCTGTCCTTACCAAAGTAATATATGTTCATGTTAAACGTCAAACTGAAGTCGGGCACAGGTCTGTAATCCTGGCACTCAGGAGGGTGAGGCAGGAGGATCATGAGTTTGAGGCCAGCCTGGGCTCCAAAACAAGACTCTATCTCAAACAAAACAAAACAAATACAATCTCAAGAACTTATAATGAAAAACAACCATCCTATGCCTTATCTTTTCTCTCATCCCTCATCTAATTTTAGCTTTTCTTCTTTATAGTTTGTGCCATGTCTGTCAATAACATGCATTACTGCTACTTCTAGATTTAGCTCTTTTAGATATTATCTATTGACTTAACTTGAGATTTTTGGCTTGCTTAATCTTTCTCTCCTCCTTCTCCTGCCAATATAATCATATCTCTCTCTTACTATTTAATATTTGCAACTTTCAGTAAAACATTTATTTTATATCATATCAGCTTTAGACAGTATCTCATGACTATTTTCTCTATTTTTTTAAACTTTTTTATTAGTATATAATAGTTGTACATGAGGTTTCATTGTGACATTTCTATATGTGTGTACAATGCACCCCAGTTTGGTTCATCCCCTCCATTATTTTTCCCTTTCCCCCTTCTACAAACGACTTCAACAGGTTTCAATATTCCATATTCACACATGCATGGAAAACACATCAACCATATTCACCTTCCTTTACCCTTTTCATTTATCTTCCCTCTCCCACTAGTACCCTTCCTTTATAATGACCTGTTTTACATTCATGTCCTTCCTCGTTTAAATGTTTTTTTAATGTTCAGTGGGGTTTATCCTTGGTATTTTACCTATAAATACATTGTGCTTTAATTAGTCCAATCCCCTCTATTACTGTTCTAAGGAAGAGTACCCTACACCATATTGTTCAACAGTTTTCAGTGTGTTTCATTTTGTCTTCTTCCTATAGAGATATGATGTATTTTGATATTATTAAACTTTTATCATCTGTATTTCTACAGTATCATAATTAATGATGCTATATTCATATACTTAGGATAATTAAATATTCCATGCATTGACTATGTTTTGGTTTTAGAAATTGGAAATTAATAAGGTTTTTGCCTTACTCCAATAATGATCTGCCAATGTGATTTGGTTTCCCCTCATATTTTTTGATATTTCTAATTCTGTTTCCTGTTCCCCCAAATGTATACCTTTATTAATTTTTTATTTTCTTACAAATTATCAAGAGCATCACCAGGTACTGATGATAACTCCCTAGATAGCTCTCTTTTGGAGCATCTATTCTCTGAACCAATCTGTACTGAATGCATTCTATTAACTTCTTCACTCGCTTTCTACATTTGGAGCCACTTCTTCCTCCCTGGTTCTCATGTTATCTTCGTTCTTGCTTTACTTTCATTTTGCTGGTACATACCCTGAAGTAATTTTCTAAGAAAAAACAAGAAAAAGTTCCCCAAATATTTGCATATCTGAAAATATCTTTATTCTCCCATCATATTTGGCTATTTTAATTTATTTAAAATCATATCTTCTGGCCTTTCTCATGTTCTTTTTGCTCCTCCTGATATGTGCATGTTACTCATCTTTAATGGATTCTCTGTGTCTTTGTTTCTTGTCTCTCCATCTTGCTTTCTGTTAGACTTTATTTTATCTTTTAACATTTATGGTGAATTTTTAATTGCTATTTATTTTTAATTTATAAGAGTTCTTATTTGTTCTCTATGGATCCCTCCCAGCCATGGCATCTTGTTTTTTTCCTATTATTTATATTTTTTGTGAATGTAATACCACTTCCATCTCTCTGAAGATACTAATTAGAGACTTTTAAAAAGAGTTTTTCTGTTTCCTCTGTTATTTAGGCTTCTTCCACAGTGATTTTTGGTATTCATATTTTACCACATTATAATTTTTATTAGTAAAATCACTTGCTTTTATTTTACTGAGGTCCAGGATATGAAAGAAAATAAAGCCATGTGATCAAAATGTTATCTATAATTGTCTGTTTTTCCTTCTTACTACATAGATCATGTGAGTAGACTGTGAGCCATGAAGAAGCATTCTGATTTTCCACTCTTATGTTATGTGTCTTGAGGGAAATTAATTACTATTTTAGGAGTCAACCAAAGAGATAGGCAAACTGTCTAGATTTTATTTATACCCAAGGGTAATTAGTGAATTTTGTAGTTCTTTTAAAGGCTTAGTTGTTCACGATAGTGAATGTGAGTTAACCAGGGAGGAAAGACCAGCATGAAGGGCAATTCAGCCTCTGGAATAAAGTCAAAGCACTTTGATGTTCAAGACTCTTCCCAGCCTGATCTCCAGGCTCTCCTCTCATCTTTCTGCTGCCCTCCATCTGTCTATACAGCTTGCTGCATGTTCCAAGCTGCCCTGCCTTTGTTCATGCTGGATCCTCTGCCGGGAATGTTCCCTTCCTCTCACACCCTTTTGAGTTCTCCAAAGTCAGGAATTATAGCCAGCCTTCCTTCCTTCCTTCCTTCCTTCCTTCCTTCCTTCCTTCCTTCCTTCCTTCCTTCCTTCCTTCCTTCCTTTCCTTTCTCCCTCCTTTCTTTCTTTCTGCCTCTTTCTTTCTTTCTTTCCTGTACCTTCTTTTCTTTCTGTCCTTTCCCTTCCTTTCTTCCTTTCTTTTTGTGGTAAGTGAGTTTGAACTTTAGGACCTGGGCAAGTGCTCTATCACTTGAGCAACACCTCAGTCCTTTTGCTTTTAGTTTGTTTTTTAGTGCTACCTCCTACCTCTGCCTCCAAGTGGCTGGGACCATGGGTCTGTGCCCACACCCAGCTTATTTTTGAGATAGGGTCTTGCTAACTTTTTTCCTGGGCTGGTCTCAAACCATGATCCTCCTGTCTCTGCCTACTGAGTAGCTAGCTGCTATTAACAAGCATGTGCTGCCATGTCCAGCTCCCAGATTCACTTTTTTGAAGTTGTATTTTATGTTCCTTTAAATAGATCAAGCCATTCTCAAGAACAGATTACTTAATTTAGTTAGTATTCCTCCCTCACTCTCCTACACAAAGTCTTGGCTCATCATGGCCTTTGGCTCCTCTCACTCTTTGCCTTCTTTGTAAGTGGAATAAAAATCTTCTATTTTCAGTGGTATTTGTATGAAGTGCAATCATTTTTACAAAGCTTCCAAATCAAGAAATAAACTTATCTCTGAAGGGTGGAGATGCCTGTCAGACTTAGATATAGTCACCTTCCCACACGGACAGGAAGGGATGATGACCCATATTGTGAATAAATTATAAATGCTGTTCTAGTACAAAGTTAACCTCCCAATTAGATAAGGACCATTATTTCACTCTGCATAGTGCACACACACATCAACAATATGTACACTCTCTATAACAAAGAAGGGTATGTATATGTTTATTTTTTGGGAGTGTGTGTGACGTGAGTAGACATTCTGGTGGCGATGAGGGAGCCAAGCTAAAATAATGGTTACATTTAAGTTCTAGGTGTTATTTACCCAATTTAAATTCTTTAAAACCAAAGAAGGTCTGTTAATTTTCTGGGCACAAAAAATATCAAAGACTTTTAATCTTAAAAAAAAAAAAAGTCAGTTGTAGTGAAAATACACTGTCAGCCAACCTTATTTGGCTTACAGAAACCCTTTATCCTAAGTGAGTGGTAGACTGGTACCACCAACGTTCAGCTCCGTGGCTATCAAATGTTATAATCAGGTTTTGTGGTATGAGTATCTTGATCATTCTACAAAGCAGTCTCATGAGGAGGTTCTAGTCTTTCCTCATGGAGAGGAGGTTTTCTTTTCCATTCTGTGTTCCATGAGACAGTGCTCCATCCCCTTTCCTCAGACTTCCCCTAGAATGGGAAAATGCAATTTAGTGTCAATAAAGTCAAAAGACTGACAAGGCTAAGGTGCTGGACAGAGTCCAGGAGAAATTACTTTTGGGTTTTCTCCTGCTGTGCACTATTGGTATACTTTCACTGGGATGAAAAATTAGTGAAAAATTAGTACTGAGTACGTCTCACAGGAATCCACTGGATTTCTGATTTGTTGGTTGATTGGTTAAACAAGCTTCCTTTACTTGGAGTACATTGACCATAATTAGCTTGTGTATTTTGAATATTCAGTTTCAAACATTGTTCTTTTATATGCCTCACAGGGCTGTGTTTCTACTTGAGAGACTGTTTTGAAGGGAAGTTTTGGATTGGTTAACACGATATGTATGTCCTTATTAAACTTCAACTAATGTCTTGCTTCATGTGCCCTTTTCCTTTTTTCTGTTTTCTTTTTCTTTTTTTTAAACAGATACTAATTTTGTGTTGGGGAATGCCCAGATAGTGGACTGGCCTATCGTGTACAGCAATGACGGATTTTGCAAGCTGTCTGGCTATCACAGGGCAGAAGTGATGCAAAAAAGCAGTACCTGCAGGTATTTATGTTTGGGGTTGTTCTGGTGAGCAATCCATCACGGTATCTTTCTGCAAAAAGAAAATTGCTTATTCAATTGAGAATTATCTTTATCTCATTCAGTATTTACTCAGTAATTTTTATTGCAATGTCTTTTCTAGTCATACATGTGCTGGGGAAATCGAAGATGCCAAACGTGGTCCCTATAACTGATGACTTTGCAGTCAGTAAGATGGGGGAAACCCAGAAAAGCTCAGAAAAAAAATCTATCTATCAAATGTGAGCTCAAAAGTTTATGAGGTGTTAGAGTGAATTATATGTGAAAGTTAGAGGATCAAATGAAAATGAAAATGTAGGTGATTAGTTTAAAAATTTTACAAACATTTTAGAAAAGAGTAACTACAATGTTGGGGGAGAAGGACCTTTTTCATAGAACTTTTCCTCAGCCAAAATTCTTTATTTCAGTAAAAGAGAAGAGAACCAATATTTTGTTGCCTTGTAACTCAGGCTGTTACAGCTTTCTGATCTCTTAGCAAATTGTGCTAACAGCACAGCTTGTGTACTTGACATGGCTACTAACAAAGCAGTTCCCTTGGGCCTGGGTGTTAGAAAAGCTCTTTCAAAGCATCTTCAAGTGTTGAGTTGGGCACATAGCCTAGATCCTGCCAGACATTCCTGTCAAGGTGTTGGCTCAGCATAGCCTTTGGCTGCTCTTCTTCAGACTTCTATCTTCAGTGGTTTGCTTGCATGAAGTGGAATCATTATTCCAAACCTGCCAAATCAAGCAATAAAGTCATCCACGAAGGATGAAGAAGTCTGTGTGGCAAAGCATAGTCTACTGCTTCTAGAAGTTGTGATTTCATGTATTAAGTCAGTCAAATAATTTGGTGAAAAGTACTAGCTCTTTAGAAAATATTTTAATTACCTTAAATTTTAGATTAAGAATGACAAATGGAATATATAAGATTTTTCTCCCGAGTACTCAAAGGTTTAGAAATTATGACTCAGTGCAATAGCATCCTCTTATATTCTTTGTGTGCTGTTTTCCACCTTTATGTATCTGTACATCTGCATCTCCATATGTAGCTGTATTGCACATATATAATTGTGAACTTCACTTTTAGTATGACTTTAGCATTTCCTTACCTTTCTTTCTTCTTATTGGCTATAATCAGACACGTTCAGGAAATGAGATGAAATAGCTTACTAATTTTGTCAACTTTTCTGTTATCCCAATTCTAAACAACTTATTCAATTACCTGAATGTGTCACTTCCCTAAAAGTAAATATGCCTCTGTGCTCCATGTATTCCTGGTAGCTCTGAGACCCTTTTTCTTATTCCAAGCACTGCAGACATTTGCAATGTAATGTCCAGGTAAAGGAAACTGCACCTACAAGGAAACTACTACTTGCAGGGCTCTATGTTACCTTTTGAAGGAAACCCAATTTGTATATCATCGTGCTACTCTGTATACCATCTCTTCTGTTTAAGGGGGGTTGTTCATCTAGAAAATTAACTCAGACAGAGAAAGAGGAGAAACCCTCTTGTTCTCAGTCAGATAATTTAGTCTTGATCTATTCTTCTTTTGAGAGCTATTTCAACAAGTTCAGTTTTCCTATTTTCCTGGTATATATGTCAAAAATATAATCCCAAAGCAGAGTACTATGTAAGCTAAACACAAGGAAGACCACAGATAATCACATTTCTCAGTGGGCTGAGGAGGGACAAAAGATGACAAAAACAACACTGAATTAATAAAATCAACTGCTAGGATTCTTTTCTTACAGGGTGCCAGAATTTGGAAGACTATAGTGAGCCCAAGGCTGTTCCAGTATTGAGCTAAGCATACTGCTTAACTTGGTGGCTTAGTTCTAGATCAGAATTTGGACTTGATGACCTCTGAGGTTCTTTGAGGCTCTGAAATGCTGTAATTCAAGCCATCAAGGCAAAGTTAGATTATATTCAACATGCATAGTTTTGGAAGAAGGAAAATGTGTTGAAAAGGAACCCATGTCTCCATGTCTGCATTGCCTAAGGCTTGAGAAGTGATCACTGCTGTCCTCCTTGTTCTCATTGCCTGAAGGCTTGAGGTGACTAGGGAAATGTTTGATGGACCCATGGCAGCCTTCAGAGAACTGGACTCTCCAGCCACATTGAGAAAGGGCTTTTCTCCTTTTGCATTTTCTTAGTGCCCTGTGACATGATTCTTTCTTGGTTGGTGGTGTTTTCTGATCCCAGAAGGAGAAACCCTGGTCCTTCAGGCCACATGCAGTGTGGGACCCAGGAAAACACAACATTCCTGGCAATTTTCCTGCCTCTGCTGAAAACCATGGTTAGTAGGTAGACCTCTGAATATCCTGAGGTTTTGTTTATTTATTTTTTTTAAAACATGCTGCTTATTTACCTCCTTTGGCTACTTTTCTCCAAACAGGAGCAATAGGGAGATGTATTATTAAAAACATGTAGGATTTTATTCTTTCATTTTTTTTTAAACCTACTGATATATTTCTTTGGGAGTGGGGCAGGAAACAGAGCTGCAAGGACTCTGACTGAATGTTCTGTTTCTTTCCTCAACTATGTCTTAGTGTTTAGAGCATCAAATTGCACGCCTTTTTTGTTTGGTTGGTGAATTTTTGTGGTCTTTCTGTTCTTCCCTCCCTTCCCTCTCTCCCCTTCTCTCTCCTCCCCTCTCTTCTCCTCGTTTATTTTGCTAGGCATTAGAAGAGGAAAATAATCGGTGGTCCAAGTCTGCTCAGCCATTTTTACTAGGAGTCTCCCAGAGTTGTATTTCTAAAATGAAATCTGATTACGTTTCTCCTTTGCTTAAAGCCCTCCCATGTTCTCCACTTACTTTGGGATGAAAAGTTTAAATTGTGTCACATGGCTCGCGATGCCATAGTCCTCCATCATCTGGCCTCTGCTTACATACCTATGTTATCTTCTGCAAAATTTCCTTTCCTTGTGAATATTCCAGTCATACCAAATGGATTCATATTCAGGCTCTAGAACTAACCTGACTTTCCCATGTGCTCATCTTTTGCTTGGTATGTTCTTCCTCCTTTTCTCAGTTATTTTCCCCCTGCTATTTAGTTCTCATTTGTCCTTACATCTGGAAGCCTTCTCTGACCAACAAGACTAGTCTGTGTCCATTCTATGTGTGCTACTTCTGTAACAGTGAGCGTACTTTTTTTCTGATCTGTTCTCTAGTCTGTTTCTTTCGTTAAAACCTTAGCTTTTTGAAGGGAAGTGATGGAGTCTTGCAGTTAAATCAGTAAGTCTGTTTTGATTCAGTAAATGTTTTTACTGTGTGTGTGTGTGTGTGTGTGTGTGTGTGTGTGTAGCACAGTGCTGGGTATAGAACAGATATTTTAACATGTGTTGTAGAATAATAAATACTTGTTGAATTGCTAACATGAGCTCTTTGGTTGATTTGCAGTTTTATGTATGGGGAGCTGACTGATAAAGATACAATTGAAAAAGTGCGACAAACTTTTGAGAACTATGAGATGAATTCCTTTGAAATTTTGATGTACAAGAAGAACAGTGAGTATTCAGACCATTCTGAACCATACCATTTTGTGTTTGGAATAGTAAAATATCTCCTCCACCTCTGTTGCTCTTTTGGTTTTCTTCTCTTCTGTTAACTACATGTAGATATCTGAAGTCATTGTGTATATTGGAATACATGTATGATCAGTCAGTCACACTGTTCCTTGCAGGGACATTTGATGAGGCTCTTGTCACTAACAAATTAAGACTTCGTCAGTTTTGCTGCCAAGAGGTAGTGTTTTCCTACTGGTTTACTTCCGGTGAGTAACTGGCTTAAGGCATTTGCAGACCTAAGCTTCTTACAGGGAGAAGGAAAGAGGTGGGACAGAAGCTCTGCTAATGCATCTTGGTATCTGCCTCCCACAGCACCTAGCGCAGCAAGTAATGGCAGGAGGCATGCAATTAAAAGTTTCTGAATAAAATTTTGCTCTCCTGATGGCCTCAGGAAATAATAATAACAGCAACAAATTGTTAATTTGTACCTATTTTGGTTACAGTTACTTCCACAAACTATATCAATGAGGTCTTTAGGTCAATAACTGTATACAAGTATAAAACTTGCTTTTTGTGGGGCAGAGATTATCTATATTAATAAGTATGGAAAGGGAGCTCGCGGGAGGGCAGTAGGGGTATGGAATAGTGCTTTTAAAAACACCATTTTGTTTGTAAAGAAGGCAGCTTTTCATACGTGGGCTGACTGGCAGGTTGTTGGTTTACAGAAAGTTTCCAGAGTGGCCCAGATGGCACGAGGATGTGCATTTATCTGGCAGCATTCAGGTCTGAGTGATATGCTTTGCTCTGGAAAGCAAGGGCACATGGTGCTCTTATCTAGAAGGAGCTGGGACTCTTTTTATTCCTGTCTGTCTGGAATGTTGGAACAGGCTACTGAGAGGACTGTTTGCTCTGTGGCCTGTGCAGATGTTGATGTGAGAGATGAGTTCTGGACATCAAAATGTCCAAGAGGACCGTTTTTGCAGTTTCATAATGAAGTCACTGCCTTGATCCAGTTTACTGTCTCAGCAAGTAGGTCCTGGTCCTACCCTGCTATAAGCTATAGGAAAAAAAAGATGGTGAGGGACTCCATGCCAGTTCTTCCACTATGTGGGACACGCTCCATGCAACAGCTCTTACCAGGAGCACACCCACAGCAGCATTCTCACAAGGAAGACCTGGGCAGCACACATGCCCTGACATAATAGAATAAGCTAGTGGTTTTGCACCCTGGCAGCTTTATGTACTGAACAGTGTGACTGTCCCCCTGATAGAGAACACTACTTGGGTAGGCATATCACATAAAGAATGCCTTGCATTGATGTTTTGTTTCTAAGCCTCATTAGAGTGCACTTAATTTGTCCAAATTCAACTACACGTGTTTGGCACGAATGGAGCGAGAGGCTTTAAACATAGCTCAAATTGTTAGTGGCTTCACTTGCCATTCCCTCCCTTAAGCATGTAATCCAGCAGGAGCAGGAGATGTGAGAGGGGAATCGGCCATTTCCCAGCTGTCTCTGAACTGACGGCCATGAATGGTGAGGTCTTAGTGTCCTGGAAGTGCTTTTAACACTGGAAGCTCTGAACTGTAGGAAGACAGGAACTATTTATGTACCCACCTCTCTCAACTGATGGGCTACTAGAGAATCAACATCTCTCCCCTCCCTGGAAGTTGTGGTGTGTTTGTTTAGAAATAAATGACAGTTTCCAAAGTGGCATGTCAATCTGGATGCAGGGCTCTAATTGGTTGATGGTAAAGCTTTTCAAGAGCCACTGGCCACATTCAATTTTTACTTAAAAAAAAAACTTTGTGGAGGATATGAGTCTATTCTATCTTAAAATGATTGATTCTCTAAATCCTGTGAAGTAGGCATGCTGAAAATTAAATTCCAAATCTGAGGTTGGGTAAGGCCAGGACCTTGTCAGTCTAATGTGGGCACAAGGCATAGCCATCCTGCATCTATATCCTGCATAGGGGTCAAGTGCAAACCAACTTGTGGTTTCCTTCTGAGCCCTCCATGCACACAGGTGTGGAATTGTAACTATGCTACGGAATATCTTCTCTTTGAAATTTACCAAGAGATGTGTATACCCCCTGTATACAGCAGAGGTTGTGCACGGGCTAACTCTGTATATAAAACATGAGGCCTGAAACTAAGGAAATACTGTAGCTAGAGTTGATTTCTTCCTAGGAACCTGCCCTTCAACCCCCTCTCAATCTCACCCTTTCCTGAGGATTTTAGAAACTTTAAATTCTTTATTAAGCTTGGGAATTAAACAGTTGCATGGGTGTCTATGTTTCTTTCAATAGCTTTTTATTGACCAGCTGTATCCAATGCTGGACTTGCTGCTAGAGACACTGGTGTGAAAAGGCAGATTCGGTATCTACTCTTACTGTGATGTGGGCGCAGCATCACAGTTCAGAGCCACAGGTTCTTGGGCGGTGACACCACATAGGTGGGTCACTTAACACTAATTAGGAGGTCAGGGAAGGAAGTCTTTGCAGAACTTAAAAATAGGTGGAAGTGAGGCAAAAAATATGGGATGAAGCATCCCTGGCTGATGAACTGTGCATGGAAAGGACAGCAGGGGAGAGAGGACACTGAAAGTTCAAGAGACACAGAGCAATGCCTTTTCACCTTTGATGTGCATAGGAACTCACCTGTGAATAGAAATGAGTATGTCTGTGCAGTGAGTCTGGGGAAGGGTTTGATTTTTTTCTTCTAGGCAATATTGATGCTACTGGTCTACATATCACATTCTGAGTGGCTATGACAGAAGGACGTTCTAGGAAAGACTGATTTCCATACCTGTAGGTTGTGTGTCTTTCATGGCTGTATCTCTTGTGTGCCTGGCATACAGAAAGTGCTCTGTCATAGAGTAAACAAATGCATAAACAAATAGGGGTTGGAAACGAGGCTGGAGAGGTTAGGGAAGGCCAAGTTAAAGAATTTAGAAACTGACTTAAGAGCAGCCGTGGTGGGCAGGAGGGCACAAGTGAGGGACATTGGAGACTTTTAAATGGTGTAAACATATCATCAGGCTTCAGATGGCTTCAGCTAGGAAGTGGGGTGGAATGGAGCTTAGCCAGAGGGAGACTGAGGGGCTCATTAGGCATCACCCTGGCAACAAGATGACTGTGGCCTGGTCAGTGGAAGAGGCATTTCAAATAGATGTCCAAGAGGGCAATGGGAGGAGGCTGAGGGGAGACACTTTGTCAGAGGTGCCGAGGACCTGGCTCTTCCCTTAAGTTCATGGAGTACCTGTAGAGCCTAGGAAGTGGGAACCCTTTACTTGCGGTTAGGAACTCAACCGTAGAGGAACTGTTCTGCCAATGTTTGTTGAGTGACTCTGGCAGGAATTTGGTAGTTACTAAGGAATAGATGAGTTGAAAGATAACTATGTGAGAACCGAAGCATGAGCAGAGTGTGTGTGGGGCCACATTGCTCAGCAACCTCCCCAGGACAGGAGCAGCTGTGAAAGGAGCTGGGTCAGAGGAGGAGAAGGCGGGCCTTCTTTTTTCTCTATGGAGGAATTTTCTTCTGCTTTCAAACTTCCTAGTTTAATAGAGTAAAACTTTCATTCCTTTAAAGCAGTGTAGCAATCTGTCAGAGAAAAACCTACCCTGTTGAGATTTTTGAAAGCAAAATGTCACCATCTGAAAGATACTTATTTTTTGTTCTCTAATTTCATTTTTATCTTAGAGAATACCTGAAGTAAAATATGAAGAAAATCACCCAAAAGACTCAGAGAAATTCTTTTATACTATTAACTTTCTGGTATGTGTCCTGTTAGTTTTTGTCTGAGATTTTGACATGTATAACAGAATTTAAAATCTTACATTTAATATTTTATCATGATATCCCCATCAATAAATTCCTCATAAATAAAGCTTGGACATTTTATCATTGTGTTATGAAATATTTCCTGGAAGTTTAGAGTTGCTGTGTCAAAGACACAGGTTCCTGAGACATTTTGCCAAACAGCCTTCCATTCTAAAGTTCACATGCAGAATGTGTTTAACATTCTGCATTGCCCGCAATTTAATTTTTTTGTTTAAAAGTTTTTAAATGCTAATGAGATTGAATTTTTTCTTTCCTTCTTTCCTATCCATTTAAAATTATCCCCCTTTAATGTTAATTGTTCATATTCTGGGTCCATTTATCCTATTCAATTTTAGTAATTTTCTTACTGGTTTTTATAAGCTCTTAATAAACCATTGTTCTTTAGTTTTTGCAAGAACAACTTCAGTATTTGGAAGGGTCTTATTGATATGTATCAATGTTTGTCTTACCTTTTGGGGAGTTGGGAGTAATTAGCAAAAGGCTTCAATGGCATGGTTTAGAATGAGTGTGTTGAATATTATTACATGTCTTGAAGGATGGATTGTTTGAAAGGTTTCTATCTTTTTGGTCAATCTGAAAACCTGGTGGAGTGCTATATATTTTGTAATGTTGCTTGCTTTGTATTCAGTAGGCTATGTGATTTTCTTACATGAATGACAGTGATCAAAAATGAACCAATTCAGTAAGTATTTACATGGTCCCTCTTGTGCCAGCCCATTAGAGTTTTCATTTTTGGAACAAGAAAATGAAGAAGTTTCAGTCGCGAGTAAACACAGTGTACTCTCTGAACGATGCTCCCCAGAGTGCGACTGCACAATCTGTGGTGTTGCTGGTGGGCCAGCCTTTGCGAGCTGTGGGTCAGCTTTCCAGTCCGAGAAGCATCCTTCAGTGCTTCTGCTGAGCTGGTATTTATGGGAGAAGCTGCTCGCCAAGCACTTATTGATTACCTACTGTAGGCTCAGCCCTGGGCCAGGTCCTCTGAGCCTCGGACATACAGACATAAAATCTGCCTTTCAGGAGGTTACAGTCTAGTTGTGGAGACCATATTTTGCTTATTTTATAAACAGCTTGTCTTCTATTTATTCTGGGGAAGCAGCTGCTTGTATGTAATATATATTGATCCTAAATCACACACATACTGATAAATATTTCCCTAATTAAAAATTGTTTGTTTTTTTGGGGGAGGGGGTTGGTGGAGTATCTCAAGTGGTAAGAGTGCCTGCCTACCAAGCATGAGGCCCTAAGTTCAAACCTCGGTGATGCCAAAAAAAAAAATTGTTTTCTTTTATCCTTTTTTTTTTTTTTTGTGGTGCTGGGGATCAAACCAAGGACCTTGTGCATGCTAGGGAAGCTCTCTGTCACTGAGCCCAGCCCTTTTAATCTTTGTTTAGAGACTTTTTTTTAATCACAAAGGAGTGAAAAATTTTTATGTCATCATTTTCTTTTATGGTTCTGAATTTACAGAATATTTAGGAAATTCTTCTTACTTAAATAATAGAAATACTCTTCCGTTATTTTCTTCTGGTACCCTAATGGTTATTTTAAAACGTTCAGAACTTTAAATCATTTGGAATTTATCTTTACAGATTATGTAAAGTTAGCATTCTAACTTATTTTCCACATTGCTTATTCAATACTGTTTATTAAATAAGATAACTCTTCTTTTCTGATTTGAAATGCCTTTTTTTGTTAATATGCTAAATTCTCACACACCCATGGGTTTGTTTCTGTCTTTGCAGAAATCCTCTTATAACTTATTCGCTCTATGAATTTGGCTAAACTACTTGACCCCATATATGCAGTGGGGATTAACACTGCAGTGGTTGTTCCACCTTACAGAGCTGTGAGAACTAAACCACAGCATGCCAGGGATTGGGTCAACAGTAAATGCTCAATAAATGATGCCAGTTTTTCATTGTTGTCTGTTAGGGTACAGTGCTAGTGGCTCTTAATTTCTGCAAGTAGATAGTCTCTGTTGTTATTTTTTTTCAAAATAATTTCTTTGAATTCAATTCTTTGAATTTTAGCTCATCAAGCTCTGAGAAAAAACACAAACACACAACAGACATTCTGATTGAAATTACATTAGATTTATTAAATGGGTAGGTTTGACATCTTGCAAAATTTAATCTCATCTACAGTCAATGTAACGCTCTACTTTTTGGGGTTTGTTTTATGTCCTTTATGTTGAGATCTAAGCATTGATTTGTCTTGCTTCTCCCTGGTTATGTTTGAGACTGGCTCTCTCTACTCAGAAAAAGCAGAGTTTCATTAAACACTTCGAGATATGTTCTCTTTTTAATTCATTCAAACAGCCCTGTGAGGTAAGACTGGATATTTTGATCTTATAGACAAAAAAGTTAAAACTCAGGCAGAAAGGAAAGTAATAGTTGTAAGCATTTACTTTGTTGTAAGAATTTATTCCCTATCTACTGTCTTGATGGAATGGGACTGCCATAGAATTTGGGCTCTAAGAGCAACCTCTGGGATCCACCTGCCCTGCCCTCTGTTGCTAGGAAAGTCATTGTCTTCCATAGGGTTTCTTAATATCCTTAGTGTTTCCAGAGAAGGTGGAAGTGAAACTGGATAGGTGGGGCTCCAGATTCCAGAAGGTTCACATTCACTTGAAGCAACTGTTTTATACATTGAGACTTTGAGACTATCTCAGATAGAAATACTTTGTTCTGAAGAGGAAAGGTTAAGATCACTGATCTGTGCTACCCAGGAGGGACTCATGTTCTCTTCTGGAAGGTTTCCAGAAATGAAAATTTCAGCCATTCTACTTGCTTCCCTCAATGGGGTGGTGATAATTTGGTATGGTGGCAGATCTGAGTGACTGTGAGGATGCAGGATGTCGGATGTATATCTGTGAAACTCAGCAAGTATTCCCATAGCACTTACCCTGCCAAGGTTGTTGCAAAGTCCCATGATGGCACTCCCTGGAGTGGCCTCAGTGACACTGTGCATAACACTCATTGGATGCTATCAGGATAGGGTTTGCAGGGAGGTAAGATGGAGAAAGTAGATCAGGACTCCTGCCTTTCGAATGGATTATGACCTATTTACAGAAACAGTTCTCAATTGTTAAGGTTTGAGGGAGTCGATGCATAGCACTTTCCTTCCCTGCCCATGACCAGAACCAATTGAGACAGGCTCAGCAGAGGTTAAATGACCACTTTATGATTAATAAAGCTGATCCTGGCGAATGTAGCGTATATCTGGGAAATGTGTTTCCAAAAGCGAACTTTACAATCAGATACTTACCCACCTATCACAGGCAGCACTGAAGAACTGCAGGCTTCTCCTCCCTCAGCCATCACCTTGCCTTTTCTTTTCTTCCAAACCTTGATAGAATGGAAGACGGCAGAGCAGAGAAGAGGCTGAGCTATATGTGTCCAGTTGTAGCCTCCTAAATTAGCAACCCTTAAAAAGCCTGGAGTAGTATACTAAAAGATGTCTCTCCATTGGGAAATACCAGACCAGGGAAAAAGAGATGGCCTGTCCTCAACAAGTCCTGGTGACCAGCTCAAGATGAACTCTAAGGCAATACATGCCAACTGTATGAATTTTTGGTTTGTGATATATATTTAAATACAAAAAAGGAATAATTAGAGTAGTACATGTTTAATTGGGAGCATTTCCAGAAGGGGCAAGGGGAACTTGAATACAGTTCAGAGAATGATCTAGGACTGCAGCCATGGAGGGGATGAGGCTCCTGGTGTTAGACATCACGAGTGGGGGTCCTCTCATCTGACTTATTACTAGTTTGATAAATTGAGTGTTTTCTGGTTTCCATCTGAAAAAGAACTGCATAAAGTTTTCTTTAGAGCAGAATGAAAAAGGTTTTCCGATTTGTTTGCTTTTTGTCTTACCAGCTAAGACCCCTCGAAGGCTATGAGGATGTGAGCCCAATAGCAGTAGTGCTCTCTTTAGAGTTTTCTGTTGCTTCATTGACAATGGTTTCAAATCCCATAGATTCTGAGGAGGAATAATAACATAGACCTGTCAAAAACTGTGGGTAATTCAAAGGTCATGTTTTTCTTGATTTTGAAATGCTATGTGTGATTTTTGTGTGGTGGATTTTTCTTTCAAAACACGTTTTTCTTCGGGTGACATTTTAATCTGTTGGTTTTCTCAGAGCATCCAGAAACTGACAGCTGAAAACTATTCAAAGGGGAATGGAAAGAGGATTAAAATTAACTATGGGTACATGAACAGATAATCAAGATTTAAGAAGAATGTATTTCCATTTCATCTATTTGCTGCCTGTTGGTACATTGTAGAGTTTTTCAAACTTACATATGAATAAGCGATTTATCTAAATCTGTCACCTACTATTGTCCAGGTATATTGGCTAATTCTAATGTTATTCAGAGATGTCTGTCTGTCCAGAGTTTGAAATGATTGGGGGCAGAGACCCAGGGGAACTCTGGGACATTTATTTTCATCTCCAAAATTCAATGAGTTGTCTGCTCTGTATCTCAAACATAAAACAATTTATGTGAAATGCTGAGCACAGGGCTGGGAACACAGGAAGCTCTCTGATAGTTAACCACACAGAGAAATTTGACAGTAGTTATAAAATAGTATGTAAGATATTATCTCAGGGGTGCAAAAATCAACACATGGTTATTAAGTCCTTCTTACATGTCAGATGCTGTTTTAAGAACTGAGATACAAGAACTAGATAGGGAAGAACATGCCATGACTTTGTGTCTCATTTAAATTTTTATTTTTGGCAGTACTGGAGTTTGAGTCTCAGGCCTCACTTGCTAGTAAGGTGCTCTACTTCTTGAGCCATGTTCCCAACCCTTTTTTGCTTCAGTTATTTTTCAAGTAAGGTCTCATGTTTTTTTCCTGAAATCGGTTGCAGTCTGCAAACATTCTAATTGTGGTCTCCCACATAGCTGGTATTATAGACGTTAACCACCACGCCTTGCTGATTTTGTTGAGGGGGGTCTGGTTAACTTCTTGCTTAGGCTGGCCTTGGATTGCAATTCTCCCAATCTCCACCTCCTGAGTAGCTGAGATTACAGATGTGACCCACCACGCCCAACCTGTTTCAAATTTAATTTTATATCACAGAATATATTGGTACTTCTTGCTACATTGTCCTCTATGGCAAGAAAATGTTTACTTTCCCTAATTATTTTTGGAGGTCAGAGAAAGACTGTGCAGAAATTTGGTCACCGATACCTGAGTGGGTGCCCTCTCTAAGAAGTCAGTCAGATGAGCTCTGCCCACCTCCTTGGGTGGATGAGAGGAGTGCTTACAAAGGGTTCGCTTGTCTCCTCTTTAGCTGAGGAAGAAGGACTGAAGTTAAAACATTGTTGAGTTCCTAAGGCACCAATGTGATCACGGGCCTACTTGGAATCTTCCCTTTCTGGGGAGCCTTTTCTAGAGAATCATGGTACTCCTTTCCTGCATCAGTGTCCTGCCATCTGCCATTGGATCATACCATTCAGATTATTATTTTAGGGAAAGTATAGTTTCTGGCCTATGCTTGTTTGAACAAAGCTGATGCTGCATAAACTGAGGCCATTTAGGAGTTAACAGAGTTTGAAATTTGAGTTTGCGTGGTCTGTTGGCCATGACTGGCAGTGCCCACGCTGGCCTGCAGTCATTACCATCCACCATGTGGTCTCAAGGAAGTCTTTAGGTCTCTATGTCTAAATTTCCTTCACGAGAGCAGGTGGGATTTCCAACTCATTTCTTAACTGTTTCTCAAGGGTTAAGAGACCTGTACCTAGAAAATTATTTGAACAGAAGAAAATCCCCACTGAGTAGTCACTGTGAAAGTTTTTATTCCAGCAAGAAAAGAAATTACTGGTGTAATACATAGGCACCTGATGGAATGAGACCATTTAAAAAATGAATTAATGTTTGGACCTATTCATTCCCAATTCTTTGCTTCCAGAGCCCCTCAAATGAGAATACAAATTACTGACCAACCTTTTAATATTCCTTTCAGGGACACCTGTGTGGTTCTTTGTGAAAATTGCTCCAATTCGGAACGAACAGGATAAAGTGGTTTTATTTCTTTGCACTTTCAGTGACATAACTGCTTTCAAACAGCCAATTGAGGATGATTCATGTAAAGGTTTGTAATTCTGATTTGTACAAATGCATTTCTGTAGCTTTTGCTACAGAGAATTTGAGGTTGCCAAGGCAATCTCTGCACAAAGATCAAAACTTAAACTTTAATTTGTGTTGGGTAAAGTACTGTGTCATTCTGCAGTGTATGGAGGGAAGGGAGAAAAAAACAATTTGTTTTGTAAAGCATCTTATCAATTTCAGAGCTCTTAAAATTAACCCCTTTAAATTAGATAAAAGAAAGAACTTGGGCAAATCTGGTATCCAGAATCTTTTCAGGTTTTCACATGATAAATGTTAGTCATCCAGGTGGGACAAGGCATGGCCATATTCATCTGACTTATATCAAACTTCCTTAGATTCGGCTAATTTCTAGTACTTCAGGAGGTTACAGCAGATGTTACCATATCTCTGCCTCTGTGATTGATTGAATTAATTCATTTTGAACATGGAATTAGTGAGGCCAGGATCTTGGGTCTTGAGTTACATTTCCATGGGGGTCATTTCACCAGTTCTGTAACCACACATTGTAGCTAGATCATACACATGTTTTACCTGGTTAACATTGGAGCCCTGGGAAAGCAGATGGCAGGATGGCTGGAGCAACTGTACCCATGAAGAGGTCCAGCTCACTGGAATGTACAAAAGTTGGCATGCTAGTCCCAGAGGTTTGGGACCAGGGGCTGTCACAGCACCTCTCTCACGTCCCTCTCCCACAGCTTACACGCGACATAACCAAGAGGCCAGGCGCTATTCCATGTTGCAGGGCTCCTGGCTCCCTGGTTGAATTTCCAGCTCTACCCAAGAACTTTACTCCTGTGGTTTCCTGAGATGTCACAGAGAGATGAGAGAGGAGTCCAGGGAACAGTCTACCTGGGCATATTATTTTGGATGTGACAAAATTTGATTGCTAAATGGGCATTATAGGAGGAAATAAAAAAGATGATGTGGATGTTCCCCTGGGACCTGTATCAGTCCTGGTACATTTAGACACTTGCATTTCTGGAGTTCAGAGCACGGTGCTGCGCAGCCCAGTGGATCCTAGTTTTTCAACTGTCTTACAGCTGAAATTAAACCCATTTCAGCCTGCCTTTTCATTTCGACTTTAGAAGATGCAAAGTCCCTAACCAGTATTTTCTCCTGATGTCTCTCCCTTTTCTTGCAGATTTGTGGTTGTCCAGTTCCTAATTTCTCACGTGGAGATCCTTCACTAATAGTGACTCACTAAGTGTCATCATGACACCATAGAGAAAGGCCTGTTGCTTTTTTCACCTAATAAACTAATGAGTAATATTTTTAAGGCAGTCGGATATTTTGACATTCAGTTTTGCTGTTAAAAATTTAAAATATGGGATTTGGCCAAGTCAGAATGTCTTTTTTTCATCACGGCTGGCATATTTTTAAGTGACGTGCAAATATTATTTGGTAGGAAAGACATTGCCTACAGAGAATACTCCATCATAGTGTCTGCATTTGAGTCTCACAAAATCTGAAAGAAGAGACAAACCAGAGTGGTGTAGTGTGATCACTCAGGTTTATTTTCCAGGAATAATATCCTCCACTTCATTTAACCTGCCTCCATTATACATTTCATTGCTGAGAAAAATTTCAGTACACATACCACAAATACACACACACACACACACACACACACACACACACACACACACACCCCCTCTGTCCTCCTCATTAGCCAAGATAATTTTTGTGAGGTGTTCTTTTTTTCAATGAAATAACTTGAGTAACATGTGGCTTCATTTGTAAAAAAAATTCTGAATACCCTCAACACAGTTTACTCCTCGATACAAAACTCCTGGTCCTATAAGGACCATGCCTAATGCCTCCTCCTGAACAACATGACTTTATAAGCCTGTGGATGTCAAATGCTGTGGTAGATATATTCAGACCCTCCCACTTGTCATGTCACTGTGCCCCCTGGCCCACTTTAACTTGGTGGTCTGCTTGGGACAAAGTGAAATTTTATGTTAGTTTATGATTTCAAGAATGCGGTAATTCACCAGGCCCTGTTAAGTCTGTAAATTCAGTTCTGACTGCACGGATCAAATCTAGATGGAAAATATGCTTCCATATTTCCTGCTTGATGTTTCTTCTTGGATATGCTCCTAGTGGTTCACTTCCATCTGATCCATCTGGGTTTGCAGTACAGCACCTCAGTCTGGATAAGGAATCTTCAGAGTCCTGGTGACCCAGGCTCCTTCAGAACTCACTTTTGAGATAGAATGGAAGGGTAAATATTCTAAAACCTCAGAAAAATCACCAAATAATTGCTCTCTGGCACAGTCTCAAGGGATGTTTTCCCACCGTCAGATTAGTCTTTTAAGTCAATTTTGCTTAAGTTGTCTTTCAAATTATTTTGTTTTCTCTGATCATCTAGTGCCTAATTTGGGGACTTGGGGGTGCGTGCATCCTGATAGTGATGCAAGAAGCCAGTTTGTGCCTCATAGTTTTCCATAAACAACCCACCCAGGCATAAACACATGGGGTAATTAAGAGTTGACCATTTTAGCATATGACACCAAGTTACTCCGCTTCCACCCAGAGATTTGTGAACTGATGATGGACCCTGGGAAAGCTTCCTGAGCCCCCTCTTCCTTTACAGGTCTGTCAGTTCTCACGATCCTTTTCATGAGCTACTATTTAGGCCCTTGACTTCCTCATCTTTACTTCACTGTTGGCCCTTGACAAATTCTCTTACCTCTGACTAACAGTGCCCACACATGGCATGGTGCAGGAATGAAAGTAAAGTGAGGTTTGCTGTTTTGTAACAGGTGGGAATTTTTGGCTAAGAGAACCTGTGATGTTCTTGGAGGTTTCATTTGTCCCTTATATCTTGCTTTTTCTTTATTGGGAGGAGTCTGCAGGAGTTTTCTGTCCCATTCTCTCCTCTGAGCCAAGATGCTTGTGCAAGTGGGCAGAGGAGAACTGCAGTGTGAGGCTCGGAGCTTTCTCTCTACATTGTTCTCCAAAGGATGAGCCACCCTCTTGTTTTGCCTCTTACTGCACCATGTAATCTCATATTAAAGGAGCAAATTCATTTTCAAAGAGCTATGTGTTTAATTCTACATTTAGAGTTAAACCTGATCCAAATGCAGTTAACAAGAGGAATTCAGAACCCCAGAGGAGATTTTTAAGGGCCAAAGATATAGACCATTTGAGGACGAGGGCTCTAGCAATTAGTTGTGATTGATAGTCCCTCTCCATGGCATATTGATGAGGAAAAGACACAGGGTAATGGATACAAGTTTCAGACTTGTCCTCTCCAATACTAATGTTTGATCTCTCTGCCTTTAGAATGTTGGGAACATGATGAGTTAGTGATTGTTGGTTAAAGAAGCCATCCTAGACTTTTGCATGTTTGCACATAGACAAAGCAAAGACTGGGAGGGAGACTTGCAGACACTTAGGCAGGGGTCCTCACTGATTGCCTATGTCCATTGTTCTCTGCTGGATGTTGGGTTACGACACCAGCTCTTCTAGGAGAATCTGGAACTCTGTATTTCAGGATCAGTCTGGCCTTTGTCTTTTCTGGTATACCTGGGATTATCTTCAAAGGAGCTAGAATTCTAACTCATTCTAGAACCACGAGAGGATGAAGGCTGGTGAGATAAGCCACACAGTGGCTGGCTCAGTTGAGTTGAAACCTTGCAGCCATTGTGGGGTCAACAAAGGGAAGTAGTCACTTGTCCTGAGAATGGGAAAAAGGACCTAGTAAATCCCTTTTAGCCATTGCCAGGTTGCACACCATGTTCCCCTTCTGTTCTTCTTTTCCTTTCACTCTTCCTCTACCCTCCTATCTACCCCCTCTCATTTTTCCTGACCATGTGATGCTTCAATCTTCCCATGTCACCCACAGCCCTGCTTATGCCTAACTTGTTGAAAATATATGGCAGATCTGGAAAGGTCCTGGGCTGGGAGTTTCTTCATTTTAGCTCAGTTCAGTGTTGAATTTCCAAATGGGATCTAATTGGAGGAGTGGGTGCAAAGGATGGAGGCACAGATACATGTACTAAAACTTAATAGGAATTGTGAAATGGGATGCCGATCCTTTCGGATGTGTATCTATTGGAAGCCCAGACAGAAGTGGGGCAAAGAAAGGGAAAAATACTTGTTTTCTACATTTATTTAACACACACACACACTTTTGAGTGCCTGGCCTTATGCTAGGTGCTGGATATAAGGACATATCTGAGATAGAATTGCTCTTTTTTTTACAGAAAACAGAACACTTGGGAGCATAGAGAAGGCAAGCAAATAAGAACAATGATGCAAAATCAGCATCATGATTTCTTTTCTTGTCACTGTGATATAATGCCTACCATAAATAAAGTGAGGGAAGAAGGATTTATTTTTGCTCATTGTTTTAGAAGATTTAGCCCATGGTTGCTTGGCCTCATGCACTTGGGCAAAAGACCATGGTAGAGTTTCTTTACCTCATATCAGAGAGGAAGAAGAGAGAAAGGAAGGAACCAGGCACAATCTTCAAAACACACCCCAGTGACCTACTTCCTACTGCCAGATCCCACCTCAGAAAGTTTCCATTGTCTTCCAAAATAGTGCCACTATCTGGGGACCAAGTATTTGACAAATGAACCTGAGGGGGACATTTCATATTCAAACCATAACATTCTGCCCCCCACCCCAGCTTGTGGCTATCTCATAATGCAAAATACACTTAGTCCATCTCCAAGAGTCCCCAAAGCCTTAACCATTCTAAAATTGTTAAAAAGTTTAAGTCTAAAATTTCTTCTGAAACTCAAGGTAAACCCTTAGCTGTGAGCACCTATTCAAATCAAAGACATTTACATCCAACAATCCATTGTACAGAGTAAACATTCTCATTACAAAAGGGGGGATGGGGAAATAATAAGGGAGGATCTGACCAAAGCAAGACAGAAAACCATCAGGGCAAACACTAAATACTGTAGTTCCATGACCAGCATCCAGAGCACGTGGTGTCCTGATGTGAGCTCCAATGGGGCTTGGCTTGGGCAGCCCTGCCCCTATGGCCTTGCTGTTTGCAGTCCACGTGACCTCTTTCTGGGGCTGGCTCCACTACACATTGCCTGCAGCTTTCCTTGGCAAATAGTCCATGTTCCAGGTTCCCCATTGCAGCTTAGCCATTCCCCTCACAGCTCCTATATCTCCCTTTCAGGGGCTCCCTGCAGGGAATCTGACCCTGAGTTTCCTTTGGTGCACCAGTGGTGATGGTGGTGCTCAGGTGGTGGTGGAGCTAATGTTTGCATGCACAACTGCTTTCTACTTGAGTAAAAAAATGTACTTTCTGCTCTTCTTGAAAAGCTTTGCAGAATTCAGTTCCAGGTTTGTTTTGAGATGAAGGAAAGCCTGACTTTGAAAGATATTTTTAAAAACTCTAGTCCACACTTCCCACAAGCATATTCCAGTGAGCTCATTCATAAATGCTGCATTTGCTGGAGATGTCAAAGACCCCTGCAGAGTCTGGGCTGTTGACATGAATGGAACCCCCACAGCTCAATCATTGTACACCTCTTTTCAAAGTGACACCAGCAGTCTTCCATTTCTGCTTCACAGTGTCAAGGTGGACGAAACACCACTAGCTTTTACTAAAGCCCAGTACTCTGGAATGAGATTTTTTTTTTAATAAAAGAGCTGGTTTTATGTTCTTGCTATGTTGACCAAAATTTTCCATATTATGACTCTTAAAGTCATATTTTTGTGCAAAAAACTGACCATTCTTCTCAATTCCATTGTCCTCTGGATTCTAAGAGTGATTTGGAAAGGTGCTCAGGGTAAAATTCAGAAGATGAGATTTCTGTTTCAAGACACTGAATACTTCAACCTTTGAAGGACAAAAAATAAAGTTGCACAGTCATATAAAAAAAAAGTTGTGTGCTCTATTTATTTGCTGTATGCCCCATGCCCAGGTTTTTGGCACTCTTGGTCTTGAGAGCCCTGACAGGCTGAGGTCCCATGGGGCACCTGCCATGGTCATAACCTTGATGCAGATGGGTAGTTGGATGTTGGAATAGATGCTTGTCATTGGGGGTCTTATAAGCAGTAGAGATGACACAAGAGTTCTTAGCTTCTCAGACAAAGACGTGTCACCAACCATCCTTCTCCTTTCCCCAAGCAGACTAAAATCAGCAAGTGCTTTTTCCCCACCTACCTAAGAGTTCAATACACTCTTACTCTCCTCGTCTTGGAGAAGGTAATGCTTGGAATGCTGTCTGACTACTTTGTCCATTTCAAACCTAGAACATGCTCAGTTTCTGCCAATCAGACAGCGTGGGGATTGGGATCAACCTGAAGCAAGGAACCAAGTCAGAGTAACATCTCAACTGCCTGGTCCGAGCTGATGGAAAAGCCTAAGGCTAGAGAGGAGAGGTCTAGATTCTAAACTTTCATGAGCTAGGTGCCCTGTGCCTCAGTTTCCTTATTTTTAAAAAGGTACTTAAACCTATTGTACTTTCTTTCCAAAGCCATGATTAGAATGAAGTGAAAGTGCTTGGGTAAAGCACATTTTGATTTGAGTACATCAGGGTGCTTTTGTGAGCAGCAGGTCTTGCTTGCAGGAATGGGAAGTGACACGTGGGAGTTCAGGAGGGTTGTGGGGGTGTCTGTTTCTGACAGATGTGAATGCCTCTGTTCTGTTGGGATGTAGTTGACCCAGTCTTTTTGCTCTTCCTATGCTTTAGGCTGGGGGAAGTTTGCTCGACTGACCAGAGCACTGACAAGCAGCAGGGGTGTCTTGCAGCAGCTGGCTCCCAGTGTGCAAAAGGGCGAGAATGTTCACAAGCACTCTCGCCTGGCAGAGGTAAGGGCAAGGGGAGCTCACCTCACACCTCTTGGAGGTACATGGGCTGAGAAGGTGGCACAAAGCCAGTGTGCCGACTAAAGGAGAGCTTCAGGGCCCTAGAAAGTATGGGAGGGCCATGTCTTGGCTGGGCTACAAACCACAATGTGTGATTTAGGTAAGTGACTTAACTCCTTTGAGTTTTGTGCTTTCACATATGTAAAAGCAGGCTGGAGTGAGCTCTATCCCAACTTGTGTGAGATTGTAGGTGTCAATTCACTTTTTTGAGGGCACAGGGAAGGAAATACGAGTGCTTTATGTACACAAATAACTTTTTACTTATAAGCTATAAACAATTTTATTTGAGTAATACATGCTATTATAGGAAGATATAGGAATCCAAAGGAAAAAAATAAAAATCACCTGTACCTTACTGGCCATATAGTATTGTTATTTTTTTGTGCTTGTTTAGTTCTTTCCTTTGCATATGTCCTATTTCCTAAGTACTAACAAATTAATTTTTTCATGTGTTATTGTTTATGACCTGATGTTGAGATGCAGCCATAAGTCAGTGTGCACATTGAGGGAGTTGTCTTGCCTTTTCTTCACTTTCTATAAATATGAAACTCTTTCTGGGTTACTATACTTTAAATTATTATTGTATCAATAACTTCGTCAGTAAGGAAAACTTGCTTGGTGGTATTCACCCTTTTTCTGGGACAAGTGAGAGGCTGCAAAGCCTTGAGAAGCTGTTTCATTCAGGCTTCATTCACTTAAATCGCTATGATCTGCCATTGGTGGTGCTTGCTCTTCCTTTCTTCAGTAAGATCTGAGTGGACCATTTAGAGGCACTGTACCCTCCCCAGTAAACCTGGACAGCATACACTACCCCTTTGTTGGAGATAGCCAGTTATTCCTTGAGCCATGATTGGATGGTGTGGCTCTTTCTTGATCTTACATCTGGGTACCATTTTGCTAAGGGAGAATTCTTGGCATAGTGTGGCTACCATAGTTGCTTTGTATATGTGCAGAAAATGTAGAGTGGTTAACTATGCAGAATCTGCTTGCAGCATCCAGGAGCTTTTGCCAACAGTAGGGATGGGGAGCAATCATTTACATCATGTTAGAGCAAGAAAGATATTTGGATGCTGGCAATATCATTTTTTTTTCATGATAAAAAAGGATACAAAGGAGGCCTTTCAGCTTGCAATCTGTGTTTTCCCTGCTGCTTCTTGTAGTTCATAAAGTACCTTCTCTCTTGCTTCTGTTCTCCTTACTCAGTCTTATCTGGCCATACTGGCCTCCTTGCTGTTTCCTGTATGTACACATTAGGCTTGCTTGCTCCATGGATGTCTGTGCTATAGCTCCTTCATTGCAAGTCTTTACCTAAATATCATTTTTCTCTATGTAGCTGCTTGTAGCTGTCAGGGTTCTGCCAGAGAAATAGTAGGATATTTATATATTAAGAGAGTTATTTTAAACAATTGGCTTACATGCCTTGGAAGTTGGCTGCACAATTCCAAAATTCAAAGGGTAGGTTGGAAAACTGGAAACTCTTGTAAGGAGCTGAAGTGGAAGTCCATGGGAGAATTCCTCCTTCCCTGGGAAAACCTCAGCTCTACGTTTAAGGCCTTTTCACTGATTAGATGAAGCTCACTCAGATTGCAGAGGATATTTTTCTTTTCCTGAAAGTCAGTTGATTGTAGATGCTAATCACATCTGCAAAATATCTTTACAGGAACACTTAGTGTTTGCTTGATAACTGGCTACAATAGCCTAGCCAAGTTGACATATAAAACTATTACAATTCACCCTTTGTTCACTGGGCACTCACACACATGTCCTTAAACCATACTTAATTTCCAAATAACACAATAACAAACTCATATTTCTGCCTGACAGGATTGTTATCCTGGGTGGTCACTTTTCTCCTTCATATTCTGAACTTAAATACTGCAATGTAAAATTTACTGTTATCATTGCATTCTATGTTAAAATAAGGGAGAAAGAAAGGGAAGAAAATAATAGCATAACAAAGTAATGGAGAAATGGAACTCCTAACCCTATTCTTATCACGCTCTATATTGTTCCCAGTTAGTGTCTTCTAATGTTCTATACAGTTTACTTTTTTAAAAATTGTGTTTATTGTCTACGACAAATACCTAGCACCCAGAACCACTGGCAAGTCATAGATGCTCAGTAGTGTTTACTTTAAAAAAAATTGATTTAATGAATGAAAGTAAATAAATTATATCAATGTTTTTGTGTACCTGTCTGGAAAAAGTAACTGCTCATAGATTCCAATATGAGACAAAAGTATGGGTCTCATCCCAGGGGTAAGCTTTACTCAGCCTGGCTAAAGCTTATTGATATTATTGATTTTTTCAGAGAACAAGCTTTTGCTTTTGTTGATTTTCTGTTTTCCCTTTCATTGCTTTCTGGTCTAATTTTTTGTTATTTATTTCAGTCTGCTTACTTTGGATTTATTTTGCTCTTCTTTTTTTAGTTTCTTAAAGCAGAAACTTCAAGTATTGTTTTTGGTCTTTCTTCTTCTCTAAGATATTCATTCAATATTAGAAATTTCCCTTTAAGTACAAGCTTTCACTGCATGTCACAAATTTTGATAAATTGTATTTTCTTTTTCATTTAGTAAAATATATTTTAATTTCTTTGAACTGTCTTCTTTGGCCCATGTGTTATTTCAAAGTGTGTTATTTCATTCCTAAGTACTTTTGGATTTTCTAGATATTTCTCTAAGTGAGTTCTAGTTTAATCCCATTGTGTTCTGAGAGCAAGCAGTGCATGATTTTTGTTCTTTTGTTAAGGTGTGTTTTATGGCCTGGAATGTGCTCTACATTGTTTCATGTGAGTTTGAGAGAATGTATATTTTGCAGTTGTGCTAGTTGTTGTCATTATAACAAAGTAGCTGAGATAATTAACTTATAAAAAGAAAGACAGGGTTGGGTATGGTGGCTCATGTCTGCAATCCCAGTTACCTGAGAGGCAGAGGTAGAGGATCATGGTCTGAGGCTGGCCCTGGGCAAAAAGTGAGATCCTATTTGAAAAAGAAAAGCAAAAAAGCTGGGGACATGGCTTAAGTGGTAGAGTGTGAGGCTCTGAATTCAAATGTCAGTACTGCTGCAAAACAAAAGAAAAAAGAAAGAGGCTCCATTTCATGATATGGGACACCAGTTGCTTTTAGGCCTCTTAAACTGATGACCTCGGAACCAGAAATAAAAGGGAAAGAGTGAGAGCCGGGGTCCTACAATCTTTCACTAGGCCGCAACGCTCCTAAAGATTGCACTAATTCCCAATAGTGTCCAACCCTATTTAACACACTGGTCTTTGAGGGACATTCAAGATTCGAACTTGGCAGTTGTTGTTGGGTGTCCATATAGCTGGTTGGTTGATGTGCCCTTCCTCCCTCCCTCTCTCTTTCTTCCTCTTTTTTCTTTTCTCTTTCTCTCTCTTTCTTCTTTTTTTCTCTGTCTTTCTTTCTTAGAAATCAGATTTATTAGGACACCATTAAAAGGAAAGAAATGATAAGCAGCTAAGCAAAGAAGCATAGTCCACTGAGACAGGATTGAGAGTAGGTTTTATACCTTGGGTTAGGCTACTTTTGATTGGCTATCTCGCTTTTTGTGGACCTTACTGATTGGTTTTTCTCTTCCTCAGATCATAATTTTAATTTCATGTTTATGGGAACATTTTGCAGGCTCAGTCCCTATTTCCTCATTCTAGCATTCCATACACTTGGCCCCTCTTTTCTTATTCTACCTGGCTCTTGGTATGTCATTCCCACCATGCCTTCGTTAGGGGTGCTTTCTTCCACATTACCATCTGACAGAACAACCAAAGCAATTCTGGTTTCAGTGGTGCAAGTGTCTCATCTTGCTGTAACTGCTTCCTGCTGGGTAGGGTCATAGAGATATCCCCATCTTTGTATTTGTTGTTCTGGCAGAGGATCATGGAGCAGTCCACAGGGACATGGTAAGATCTAATTGAATACCAGAATGAAATTGTACAGAGGTCTGATCCAGGTTGCTAAGAGGCACTGGAGTGTCAAATTTAGGCAGCAAAGAGGTTCAAAAGATGTGGCTCTTAGGCTGGGCTTACCTGGAGTCCATTTTGTCTGTTTTATAGGTGATATCCTAGAACCTCAAAAAATGTCATTATTTTTAGAAGTAGTACTTCTGCAGCATGTCAACAGACAACAGTTACAAAGTTTTACAAGGAAAATACAAAACCAAACCACCAGAAGCAAGCATTTTAAAAAAATTTTTTTTTATTATTTTATTATTCATATGTGCATACAAGGCTTGGGTCATTTCTCCCTCCTGCCCCCACCCCCTCCCTTACCACCCACTCCGCCCCCTCCCTCTCCCCCCACCCCCTCAATACCCGGCAGAAACTATTTTGCCCTTATTTCTAATTTTGTTGAAGAGAGAGTATAAGCAATAATAGGAAGGACCAAGGGTTTTTGCTGGTTGAGATAAGGATAGCTATACAGGGAGTTGACTCGCATTAATTTCCTGTGCGTGTGTGTTACCTTCTAGGTTAATTCTTTTTGATCTAACCTTTTCTCTAGTTCCTGGTCCCCTTCTCCTATTGGCCTCAGTTGCTTTTAAGGTATCTGGTTTAGTTTCTCTGCGTTAAGGGCAACAAATGAGAAGCAAGCATTTAAAAGCTAACTTGTTTGACAGATAAGTAATTATTAGAATCAATTTCCAAGGGTTTGATTGTAAATGCTCCAGAACAATCAAAACTGCAATGACAAAATTGCAAAATTGCAAAATTTGTAGAATAGTCACAGTTAAAAGTTTGAAAAACTTTGTTTCTTTGAGGATGTTTTTGTTGTCTTTGATTTTTCTGCCTGTGTTTGTTTTGTTCTTGTGGCATTTATCCTGGTTGGCTTTCTTTCCATTTCTAGAATCTGAGGTTTGGTGGCTACATTAGTTTGGGTAAATCCTCAGTAATTATTGCTTTTAATATTTTTTTCAGTTTGCAAAATTTTTTCTATT